TCTTGTTCCATTAGTACCAGTGTTGTCGTAAAACCTCTTCGCTTCACCAAGCGTCTCTGTCTGTCCCTTTCAGGACTGCTGACAGCTCGGCATTGATGTTTCATGCGCCTTGTGCTCCTAGAGACTATGGTGAAATATGTTATTAAACAAATACTGACAAAGATTTGTGGCCATGAAATAATAGCGTACTCAAAACGGATAGAAACGGGTAGTATAAGGACATAATATATTTATATGTATGGCAGCTAGATTTAAGTTTTTCATAACATTTAGATAATAAGTATCTTTGAAATCCCCCCTTTAAGCATCTATCCTAAATTATGATGAGTAAAAACATCAGAAACGAGGCATTCTGTTAGTGACTAATACTGTATAGTTACATAAATTTACGTTAGGTGATAGTTGAGTATAGCTCAATATTGATTTCATTGAGGTCATGATCTCAATTTTCCCTGTATTTGTGAGTACAAGTTTCTTCCCCATAACTTTTTATTAAATCAGTCGATTCTTGTGTAAATGATATGTATCAAATCTTCAAACTGTGCTTTAAGTTGACTCTTATTTATTGTGTGATTTTTCAGGTTATCTGTCGGCTCTAAATAAAGCTTTTAAATTCTCGATTTAAAACATGCAAAAAGCTACGAAGAAGTTGGCCGTAAATATCGAACATTGGTATGTTCCAAAAGCATCAGTATAATTATATATATATATATATATATATATATATATATATATATTCTGCGCCATTTCTGTCTCAAGCCATTGTTGCACTATCTTTAGGACCCCAATCAGGGAGTCGTGAAGGACCAACATAGGCCAGTCTTGTGCAGCCTTTCATACCATGACGCTTCGCCGTGCACCGACCACTGCTTTCTCTAACCAGTTCTAGCGTTGGCAAATAATGCACGGTATGGAATCCGTCGGATAACATTCGTAGTATATGTCCAGGCCATCGAAACCGGTGTTTCTAGATAGTGACACCAACTTAACTATTGTCGCTGTCCGAACATACGGCTGTCAAACCTGCGCATTACTAACGTGGTGTCACTGGTATCAGCAACTCTTTGGAGACAGCAATAATCGGACACAGAAATTCGTCTAATATCATCAACTCTGAGAAGCCAGGCTTCATAAGCATAGAGTAAAACTGCTACTATATTTATAACCATTCAAGAATTCCTTGTTTCCTTCCGTTGGTTTTATAATGACTAGCATTAAATCGAAAACATGTTTTTTCTAGAGAGAAATTAGCAAAACAAGAAAATGTTTCAGGATAACCAGTCAATAATTTGGTGAAGCTTCATACAATTTATTAATTTCAAGTTATGTATAAAATGTTATGCTTTCTATGGGTAACCAATGATTTGTTACTCAAAGTTTCATTTATAGTTTATTGTATATTCTTTAAGACTAATCATTTACCCGACCGTTGCTGCTACCTTGACGTGGTGGTCGGGCTTGCCTATCGTGATGATCCAATCGAGCTATGCTGGCTGGAACAATCGTTCCTCAAGGTCCTACCATGCCAGACAGGTCGATTGAAGAGCGGTGAGACTAAAAGCAGCAATCCCAAGGTCCGAAGGCGAAGTCGTACTGCTGACTGTACAGAGGTGTGAAAGCAGTAAGGTGTTTCCTTCAGACAACCAGCATGACAGCGATGCTGCCTTCCCACAAGGAGGGGTGGGGTTAGAAAAGGTCGACCCTAAAAATGCACACCTCGCCTTATCCCACGGATTTCCGTCTCCGGCGGTAAGGACTTTTGAAGAACGGAGCTAACACGTCAAAAATCCCCCACAAAAAGGCCGTGCGTGACCGGCCTCAAGCAGATGTCCCTTGGGCACTGCGGTCACGCACCCAGGTCGTTAAGACCAACACTAATCCAACTTCTTTTTCAGGTCCCTCAAGAAATACCCTTCCACGGTGTGGGCAGCCGGGAAGTGATACTAGCCCTCATACCCTTAGCTGCACACAAGACCAAGTTGGTCGCTTTCAAATCCTTCCTACACCTCCTAATAACTCTGTTATCTCCACGACTAACCCTTCCCACGTCCTTTTATCACCTCGCACCGCTAGGGCAAACGATTCGAGTACACAGAACGTTATTTCTGGTCTCCTGAAACCACGCTCTAAACTACATATAGGAACTTTTAATGTCCGAACATTGTGCCAAATAGGACAACAGGCTTCCTTAGCTAGGACTCTAGAATCTTACACCATCGATGTGTGCTGCGTCTCCGAAACGCGCATACAAGATCCGAATAGTGTCATTCATTTGACCTCACCTAATCAAAATAAAGTTTCATCTCGATACACGCTTCGTGTATCTGGAAGCCCTGACGCTGCTTCCCGTGGCCTCGCTGGAGTAGGTATAGCATTAAGTCCTAGGGCAGAACTAGCTCTTTTAGACTGGATCCCAGTAGACAGTCGTCTATGCGCTGTCCGACTAAACGGATCAGTAAGGACCCGGAAAGATAGGGAAACTCGTCGTTGCCTCTTCGTCGTCTCTGCCTACTCTCCCACTGACTGCAGCTCAGACGATATAAAAGATGAGTTTTACAGAAAACTTTCTGACCTTCTCCGAGAAGCTAGGCGTTCTGATGTAGTAATAGTAGCAGGTGACTTTAATGCTCAAGTAGGTAAACTAAGTGAAAGGGAAAGACACCTGGGTGGATCTTATGGTGTCATGGCGAAAAGAACAGATAATGGCGACCGTCTGTTGCAGCTGTGCTCAGATAACCGCCTATTTCTTGCAAATACTAACTTTAAGCATAAGGAAAAACATCTTTTGACATGGCGACCCCCGAATTCGTCCCAACGTTGGACCCAATTAGATCACATCGCTATCAGCCACCGATGGAGGGGCTCGATTGAAGACTGTCGCTCATTATGGGGCACATGTTTAGATTCAGATCATGCTCTAGTGCGAGCACGTATCTGTCTGCGTCTAACTGGTCGTAGGAAAGACACTGCAGGGAAGCCTCTAAGGGTTCTACTTAATGATAGGCAAGCTAAGAATATATATCAGGAACAACTAGAAAAACAGTTAGGCAGCCATGTAAGTTGTGTCCACCCCGAGGCAGCGTGGAATGACATCCGAAAAGCTGTGGAAACAGCAGTGATGTCCGCTAGTAAGGTAAACCATAACGTTAGGGAGAAACAATGGATCTCGGCAGCATCTTCCGCACTGATAGATGCTCGTAAACTCATCCCACCTGGCTCTGAGCATAACGAAGAGCGGAGTCAACTTAAGCGCAGGCTTATAAGAAGCCTACGTAATGATCGTGAACAGTGGTGGGTAGGGAAAGCAAGAGAGATGGAAAAGGCAGCGGCAATAGGTAACAGTAGGCAGCTATTCAGACTCGTTAAAGAAACCGGCATTAGGAACCCGAATATCAGTGAAACCATCTCAGATAAAGATGGGCATATTATTCATTCTCAATCCAGGAGATTGGATCGATGGGCAGAACACTTTAGGGATCAGTTCAACTGGCCTTCAGCCACGCTTCAATTACCCACGATCCCCAGTCGTCCTGAATGGCAAATTGACGTAAGTCCTCCAACCCTCTGTGAGGTTGAAAAAGCTATAGGAAATCTGAAGCGAGGGAGAGCAGCAGGCCCTGACAGGTTGACCCCTGAGATTTTTAAGGATGGTGGTCCAGTACTAGCAGTGAGATTGACTGAGGTCTTAGGTAGACTCTGGGAACTGGACGTAATTCCATCTGACTGGTCCCAATCACTGATTGTGCCAGTCTATAAGAAAGGACAAAAGTCCTCCTGTGACAATCACAGAGGGATCAGTTTGACTAATATAGTGTCTAAAATATTAGCTTCAATAATACTAGGTCGTCTAACCAAAGCTCGTGAAGAGCAGACTAGAGAAAACCAGGCTGGTTTTCGACCTGGACGTGGTTGCATAGACCAGATATTCACCCTACGTCAGGTTCTAGAACATAGACACAAATTCAGACGTCCCACAATAGTAGTATTTCTTGACCTTAAGGCGGCATTTGACTCTGTTGATCGGGAGGTTCTATGGCAGTGTTTGTCACTGAAAGGAGTACCAAAGAAGTACATTAACCTCATAAAGGCTCTCTACTCGAACACAACTGGTCGAGTTAGAGCCTATGGCGAACTGTCATCAGAACTGATTACCACAAGTGGTGTTTGTCAGGGCTGTCCACTCTCCCCATTCTTGTTTAACTTTGTCATTGACATACTTTTAGAGACAGCACTTTCATCAGCTAAACCTCCAGGAGTTGAACTCTTACCGGGAGGTTCACTTGTTGACTTAGAATACGCCGACGACATAGTTTTACTCGGTGAAGACGCTGACAAAATGCAGAATCTTCTGACCACCATAAGCAACAATGCAGGCATGTTCGGGATGCGATTCTCTCCCTCGAAGTGCAAAATGTTACTTCAGGATTGGGTTGCAGCGACACCTGAACTAATGATAGGGAGTGAAGTAGTTGAGCGTGTTGACTGCTTCACTTATCTTGGGAGTCTCATCAGCCCTTGTGGTCTGGTATGTGACGAAATCTCAGCACGGATACAGAAGGCTCGTCTAGCTTTCGCCAACTTGCGTCATTTATGGCGTAGGCGAGATATCCGTCTAGCAACCAAAGGACGGGTTTACTGTGCAGCAGTTCGCTCCGTCCTACTCTATGGCAGTGAAACATGGCCAATAAGAGTAGAGGATATTCGTAGGCTACTAGTGTTCGATCATAGGTGTCTTCGAAGCATTGCTCGTATATCCTGGGACCACCGGGTAAGTAATGCAGTTGTTAGGAAACGAGTACTAGGTAGGGATGGCAAATCGATTGATGAAGTAGTGAAACTTCATCAGTTGAGATGGCTGGGACATGTGTTACGTATGCCCGACCACCGACTGCCCCGACGTGCAATGTTTCATGGTGTAGGAGTAGGTTGGAAGAAAGCTAGGGGTGGCCAAACCAAAACGTGGCACAAATCAATGAAGTCACTGACAAGTGGACTGGGCCATGTTGGTAAGTGTAGACTACCTGGTTGGGATTCGCGAGATGATAGCAACCGATGGTTAGAGACCTTGAATGACATGGCTCAAAATCGTTTGCAATGGCGAAGATGCATCCACTCTTTGTGTTCTACCAAATTCTAATCTTCTGAATTTCTCATGTCTTTATGTTTTTCTCTTTCCAAATATATTTCACTGTACTATACTCCTTCAATAACATCTTCAAACTCTAATCTTTCCGATTACTGCTTATACTCTTACTACTTCTTCCACTATGGGATTTGAATCGACAACTGCATCTGTGTGCTAATGTGGTATGGCAACTCGAACTGATGTACGTACGTACGAAGTTCTACGTTGTGACTGACTGACTGACTGACCCAACACCATTTTCGACCTTGGTTTTCTGTGTCATTTCTCCAGTGTTGTTAAACAGTTAATAAAATAAATGTTTATATTAAATCCATGGTTGGCTCCGTTCAATGAAGCAAACTTAGCGTGACTATAAGTTATCGATAACTAAAATTTATAGATCTAATACTAATTTCAGTTGATTGGCAGTTTAAAAATCCCCATAGATAGTTCAAAATGAACAATATTTGAGCGAACAATTGTTTTCAATAACTTCATCATCAGGCTCGACAGTTATAAGTCCATAATTATTATAATATTTTACAAAGTCCAAAATGAGGCATGTATTAATGAATTTGACAATGTTATATGTTAAAAATGGTGAACGTTTGCATCTGCTATTACGACATATATATACTTCAAAATGGTGTTATTTGTAAATTAGAAAGGTCATTTAATAAAGGTCAAAATGATTTGCAATAAAGTGTCTAGTCACAATCAGTATAATATTAATTTAGGAAAAATGAAAATGCAATAAATTTTGTGAATGAAGTGCATAGTAGGAGAATTTCATCTTGTCAATTTAGATAATAATGATAAATAGTAATAGTAATAATATTGTTGTGTGAATATAATACGTAATAAAAGGGGTGTTATCAAAGTAATTACGATAAAGGAATTGGCCTACGACTGGATCACCGGAGCCCATGTGTACCATTGGTTTGGAATGAGGGTTTTCCAACTCCCTTAGGACCCTCCGTGTCCACCGGCCCGGTTAAAGCGCCGGACATTCGCTTTTCGTCCTCTCACCTCTATCTTAGTCTTCACATCCATCATTCCCAATTTCTTTATCGTAATTACTTTGATAACACCCCTTTTATTACGTATTATATTCACACAACAATATTATTACTATTACTATTTATCATTATTATCTAAATTGACAAGATGAAATTCTCCTACTATGCACTTCATTCACAAAATTTATTGCATTTTCATTTTTCCTAAATTAATATTATACTGATTGTGACTAGACACTTTATTGCAAATCATTTTGACCTTTATTAAATGACCTTTCTAATTTACAAATAACACCATTTTGAAGTATATATATGTCGTAATAGCAGATGCAAACGTTCACCATTTTTAACATATAACATTGTCAAATTCATTAATACATGCCTCATTTTGGACTTTGTAAAATATTATAATAATTATGGACTTATAACTGTCGAGCCTGATGATGAAGTTATTGAAAACAATTGTTCGCTCAAATATTGTTCAGTTGATTACTTTAAAATGTGACTGTAAATATATTTAAAGATAACTAGATATTGAATTGAGTTGATTATGTGTAAATAAACACTAGTTTCTTGTCCATTATCAGGATTGGATAACTAATCACTATAACTGTATTTTAGTAATCGAATAGATTTTCAAAATCATTTTGTATTTTCAAATTGTTTAGTGGAGGATGAGGATATTTTCCTCGAGCACAACGTCTCGCAATCACAATCAAGCAGAAATGTGCATCAGCTTCTGTAAATATTCAAGAAGGTCGTTCAAGTAAGTTTGCTAATTTAATGTTTAGGATTCACCTTAACTTACTTAAGATACTTCTATAATCCTGTTAATATATAGCCCAACTGCACCCCTTTTTTTGTAAATACGCGACCAAATATTCTATTTTCTCTGGGCAAACAATTATCAACTACTTGTTAAGCGTATGTGCAGTTAGCGTATAACGCTCTACGTAGTTTTGCATCAGTTTAGTCAAATTGTGCTGTATCAAGTGTCGAATATCTATATCCTTTTTTTCCTATTCGTGTATATATTGCACAATATAGGTGGTGACAACCAAACTCATTCGTCTTAAAAGCCTGAGTTCCTTGCTATGCAACTTGTTTTCGCTAGAGACTATAATAAGACCAATTTTCGTGGGTAAAGGTAGTTTATCGTGCAGTGTCCATACATATCAGTCCCCAAATATTGTAAGGGTATTGCGTAAATCACAAATCTCTCAACTGCCTAGATCGATATCATTGTCTTTGACTTGATTCTATAATAGCTGGAAAACCCGTAAGGCTCGGTCCTTAGAAGCTCTTCATAGACAACTCAAATGTAAAAGGCATGAAATTCTCATTAATGTTGCTAACACAACTGTAGAACGTCTTAAAACTGCAAAAAACTTTTCATTTTTACTTAAAAGTACAGACTCTTAGATTCACTTGCTATTGCTTACTTGAATCTTGTTGATTTTTGGGACTGCAATTAATCGCCCCCAAATGCCCTGCTACTGCCGAAAGTAGGGAGAATCGGCTGTCTTTCGAAATATTCTCACATGGCCACGTGCATATAACAATCTCCAGGGAAGTCCTACTCACTGCCTTCTCATGGCGGGGGTGTTGTTTACGAAATTGAGAGGACGAAAAGCGAATGTCCGGCGCTTTAACCGGGTTGATGAATGTGAAGAATCCGCCTGGGGAAGTCGGAAGATCCTGATCACAAATTAATGGTGCACATGGGCTCCAAAATCCTAAGGAAACGAGTGGCGCATGAGCCTATTGTTGGTCACTGGCCACCGTGTGACTGTATGTCCTAACGTCGCTCCACTGCCTTGTGGATTAGACCTTTAGGTCAAAGGCTCTGGGTGTGGCCCCCTAAGAAAACCACCTGCTTCAGTTTGGGAACCCGGTGAGCCGTGTTCCGATGTCACTGAACTTTTGTGATTGGGGACTGCAGATGAGAATAAGGGCTTTGAACTGATCTTCAGTCAGCGACTTCAACCGGAAGCCTTCGCTTTCGGTTACCCACTTTGAATTCGTTTTTAACAGTTACTGAAAAATAACACAGTTGGTATACTATGATTTTCTTCATGGCTACTTATTATCTTCCAGGATCTTTTGAAATTATCGTTAATGGAAATCTTATTTTTTCAAAACTAAAGTGTGGTAGTTTTCCTTCAACAGAAGCCGTGAGTTATCCTTACTTTTTCTACAAGTTAAAAGTGTAAATTTACTTGATTGTTAATTTCTACACATATATATTTTGACAGTACGTCTCCCAGGGGAAATTCGATGAATAATCAGAACCGGACTGACGAATTTCGAGTTGTTAATTTTGTCAAGATACCTGGAGATAACACAACTTCAATTTATCTGAACTTTCCAAAATTTCACTTTCGGGTTATTATTTGAGTATTAGTAGACTTGAGTTTAGTGGATTGTATGTTGAGGAAATTATCTTACTTAAAAATTGCTTTCACCAAAGGTTTCCTATTGTTATTGAATCATTGTAAACTACAGACAGTATTATTGGTTTACCTTAATTTTCGATTTTTCCCAATACTAAATACATTTTACTTAGTCTGGAACGAAGCTAATGGTCTTCGTATTTTACAGCTAGTGTGAAATTTGTGAATCCATTGATCTTAGAAATTTATTTGTCAGCTTTTTTCCTGAACCATAATGTCACTATTATTATTATTATTATTATTACTATTATTATTATTATTATTATTTAAACACATAAATATTGGTACAAAGGGGCACCAGATACATATGCACCACACAAATCTCATTCAATCTGTGTGAGGGCTGTGATACTGTCCAGATGCCCAAACTGAAGCAGGTGGTTTTCTTAGGGGGCCACACCCGGAGCCTTTGACCTAAAGATCTGATCCACAAGGCAATGGAGCATTGTGAGGAGATGCAGTCTCATGGTACCTGGTGGCCAACGATTGATTCATACGCCATTTGTTCCTTCACGATACTGGAGCCCATGTGCACCATTGGTTTAGAATCAATGTTTTCAACTCCCCTAGGTGGGTCCTCTATATCCACCAACCTGGTTAAAGCATCGGGTATTCGCTTTTCGTAAACAACAGTAACGCCACGATAGGGCAATGAGTAAGACTTCCCTGGTAAAGGCTATATACGCGTGGCCATGTGAGAACATTTGGAGAGGGAGAGCGGATTCTCCCCACTCTCGGCCATTTGGGGGCACCATAATGTCAACATAAGAAGAGGTAGGTAAAGAGATAGGATTTTACACAAATATGTGTTTTCTTATAAATTACATAAAATCCCAATGGTAACCAAATAGTCCAAGTGACCGGAAATTCTTGTAGATTCTGTTTGGAATTAAAACGATAAGAGTTTCTCGATAGGTGGTGATCTTGCTCGATCTAATTTTCATAATACTCAATAGGGTATATTTATCGTCATATCTTATTAGTCTAGTTTATGTTTCTATTTTTCACATTGAATCTATCATTTAATTCTATTTAGACACTGTACCTATTATTGTTATTAGCTTAAACATTGAAAGTTTGATTCTATTTCTGATAAACAGAATTGAATTAATAATATTGTTAATGATAATTTTTGTCATCTTGTGGTGGTCGGTATTCGATATTATCTTTAAACTTCGTATATATTGTTCGTCCTGATAACCGTCACTAGATAACGCCACAACGGTGTGTATAAATCAGAAGGCGAATATGAAGGGTCGATTGCGTGTTTATTGTTGAACTAGGCACAGGTATCCAAAATTACAGGCACTTTAAGGAAGCAGGAAATAGTAGTGCCGAAAAACAAGCGTTTGAGCGTCCGAGATGAATAAACTAGTGTGCGAGTCAGTCAACAGGATTAAAACGTATATATATATATAGTGAAATGAATGAAACATCGAATCAATTAAGCGACTAATATTAAGGCTCAGTCAGTTAGCTACAGCGTAGGACCAGGCACACATATGCATCGGTCCAAGTTGCCATACCTCGTTAGCACAACAAGATGAACACCGGATTTATAAAAGTAGTTAATTTAGTGGTGGTAGTATATGAATAATGCGTTGCATATAAGGATATAGTATAGCAAGGAAAAAAGTTATGAAGCAATTTTAATCTCAAGGTTTAAGGGAAGATAAAGAGTGTATACACCTACGCCATTGTGATCGATTCTGAGCCATGTCACCCAGAGTCTCCAACCATTGGTTACGATAGTCACGTGGACCCCAACCAAGTAATCTGCATCTGGCAACATGGCTCAGACTAGAAGTGAGTGAATTCAAGTACTGATGCCAGGCTAGAAGAATGAATATATGCATAGGCAGTAAGCAATGCTCAAGCATACATATTGATACACGTGCATCAATAATAAAGTTGCAATAGTATAGATAGGTTGTTATTGTACTCATGACTCCGTACATTAAATAAGTTAACAAAAAGGGCTTAGCCAAATTGTATGTGAGCTATTATATGTTCTCAGTACATAATCATATGCTAAATCTTATTCATCAATGTTCATTATTTTATTAGATCATTTCTGAATTGATTCGAATTGAAAATGGTGAAACACCTAATGAAGTCATTGAATATGAAACATCTAATTGTAATTTACTTTAAATATCTAATATATAAACATGAAAACTATGACAATTTAATGATGATGTATACAAAGTAAAGTAAAATATTTATTATTAACCTTTGTATATTGATGTGATATTTGTCTAGTTTTTATGTCACTTTTTTTGTTGCTACCATATAGTACTTGATATTATTTAAACTTTTTTTTGTGTGTGTAAACATATTGTTTGATGAATTGAACAGTGATTAGTAATATAAAAGATTATAATTATAATAATTATTATTAATTATAATTATTATATAAACGATTATCTCTAGTTATGATCACCCAAAACCGGATAAGAGAGGAAGGTTAGACATGGGGTTAGAGACCCAATCATGTAGAAATCTAATTCGCTAAAAAAACACTAACCAGAAAAAAAATTATCTTATTACTTGATGTTTCCAGTTCATATATTGGAATTTCGATAAAAGGAAGACAAAAAAGACTATATGTGTGTGTAGAATCTTTCAACTACTTCAATCAGTAAAAAAAACTTGAAGGTTTGAGTGTTTCTTATCTATTACTTGATATAATACAACAGGATAATAATGGAGTTTTTGTTCTCTAATCTGGATCATTATTATGTGTAAATAGTAAATTGATAATAGTATTGTGAATGTTGTAATTGGATTTTTCTCAGATTACATATTACTAATTACAGTTTTGCATCCATTTATTGGATGCCTGCAGTTTGTTTGTTTGTTTGCTTGCTAACCCCAAATAAGTAAATGAAATTCTGTAAGGGTTAGATAATGAAGAGCACTGTTTACAGGCAAATGAGACACTTAAAGGTGGTACATCCACTTAGCTTTTGTTTCATTAACTTATTGAATTTGTTAATACTGATAACGAAGTTTAATCGTTTGTTTCACAATTGATTTGTTGTTTTTCAGAATTGGCATTGAGCAATCTAGGAAGCTATCCATACGTTTTTTCTGTTATAAAACTTATGACTTCTGTCAAGTAATTGAAAGTCTTCAATCTTTGTAATAATTAAGTCTATGCAGGTGAACAAGTTTGCGAATTTCTGAATATGGAAGATTATGGGGGAAGAAAAATTTACGAAGTAACTATAACTAAGTTTCATATTAACTACTACCATGAATTATCTATATGTAAATAGAGTGAAATATCCCATTTTGACATTTGTTAATTAAAAATGAACGAATCGTGCAAAGAAATTTCTTTTCAATTAGTTTTTCATCGTGGCTCTACACTAATATATATGTGATTTACCATAATTAAATAGCACTCGGCCCTGGTACGGCCGAGAGTGGGGAGAGTCTACTCTCCCTCTCGAAATGCTTTCACATGGCCAGCGAATATATGGCCTCTGCCAGGGAAGTCCTACTCATTGCCTTCTCGTGACGGGCTGTTGTTTACGAAAGTGAGAGGACGAAAAGCGAATGTCCGGCGCTTTAACCGGGTTGGTGGACATGGAGGGTGGAGGGAGTTGGAAAACCCTGATTCCAAATCAATAGTGCACATGGGCTCCAGTATCCTGATGGAACGAATGGCGGACGAACCTGTCATTGGTCAACGGCTACCATGGGACTGCATCTTCTCACGATGCTTCACTGCCTTGTGGATCAGACCTTTTGGTCAAAGGCTCTGTGTGTGGCCCCCTAAGAAAACCACCTGCTTCGGTTTGGGCACCCGGGCAGTATCACAGCCCACACACAAATAAATGAAATGATGAATTCTATTGACGATACTATCCCTGCTGATACTAGAAGCAAGACAATTTACATTATTATTATTATTATTATTATTATTATTATTATTATTATTATTATTATTATTATTATTATTAAATATTTACCATATCGCTAACTCACCCCCTTTTATCCCCAATTTGTGTATCCTTACTTTTCAACTTATGCAGCAGCTCGCCCATGGTGGAAAATCAGTCCGATCTAAACGATCTCTAGTCACTGTCTGGTTGAAAGTGAATGCTTCCACCGATTATGAATACTGAAGCAGTCTTTCTGAAACCACGTACGCCGTCCAAGCTGGCTTCCTTCAACGTTCGCACACTAATGCATATCAGACAACAGATGGGGCTGGCTGTCTTTAGAAAGTCTTAATGTTGATGTTTTCTGTCTATCCGAGACCCGTATTCAAGACTCTAGTGAAGTACTACAAATCCGCTCTCCATCTGTCGCTTCGAAAACCTTGTTCCACGTGCGCTTATCCGGGAACCCTGTGTCATCTTCGTCTGGTCTTGCTGGCGTTGGTGTCGCACTAAGCACTAGGGCTGAGGCAGCACTAATCGATTGGATCCTCATTAAGAGTCGGTTGTGTGCTGCTAGATTAGAAAGTTCCATCAAAGTGAGAAGAAACCGGCGTGAGAAACGGTGTCTTTTCGTCATCTCCGCCTATGCCCCGACAGATTGCAGCCCGGATGCAATCAAGGATGAGTTTTACCGTCAGTTAAAAGTTCTTCTCCAGAAAGCGTGTTCGACAGATATTGTAGTATTAGCTGGAGACTTGAATGCTCAGGTCGGGCGTCTAGGCACAGAAGAGAGCCGTTTAGGTGGCCGATGTGGACTTGTTGGTCGCAGGACAGATAACGGGGACCGTTTGCTGCAACTGTTCACAGACCACAACCTATTTCTGGCCAGCACTAACTTCTGGCACAGTCATCGCCGGTGTGCCACCTGGCGTCCTCCCTCTGCATCTCAATCCTGGACTCAGATTGATCACATCGCGATCAGCTACCGCTGGCGTGGTTGTGTACAAGACTGCCGCTCCTTTTGGAGTACCTATCTGGAGTCTGATCATGCCCTGGTCTGCGCCAATCTCACCTTACTTTTCAGTGGCCGAAGGATTGACCACCACCAACGGATTGATATTAGTAAACTGGCTGCAACTTCTGTTGCAAGTAAGTATCGAGCGGAGCTAGCTTCTAGACTAGCTACCACCCCACCGAAATGTATAGATGAGCATTGGTTGCTTCTTCACGACGCCATGAAAATGGTGAGTAAAGCCGCTTGCGGCTTCGCGAAACGTCCCACTTACAAGCACTGGGTTTCTTCTGGCTCCTTACAACTGATGGAAGCCCGTCGGTCTGCTCCGGGTGACCGTGAGTTTGACCACAAACGAAGGCTGTTACGTAGTGAAATTGGGCAAAGCTTGCGTAAGGACCGGGAAGCCTGGTGGTCGGAGCGTGCTAATGAGATGGAAGCAGCAGCTGTATCTGGTAACTGCCGGAAGCTCTTCCAACTCATCCGAGCCACTGGCAGCAAGAAGTCTGGTGTGAGTGAAACAATCTACGAGGATGACGGGATGCCAATCACTAACATCTCCCGATGTCTTGGACGATGGGCGGGATTTTTCGAAGGGCAGTTCAACTGGCCTGCTGCTCCGGCAACATCAACCAGCTTGTCATGCCCCCCATGGCCGGTGACGACTGATCCACCAAACGAGGCGGAAGTCCGCAAGGAACTCCAACTCTTGAAACGTTACAAATCACGTGGCCCAGATGACTTACCTCCGGCTCTTTTTAAAGATGGTGGTGACCTTCTGACTAAGGAACTGACGGTGTTGTTTGCAAAGGTTTGGGAAAAAGAAAGTGTTCCAACATCGTGGAATGAGTCGATAGTCGTCCCTATCTTTAAAAAGGGTTCACGTTGTTCCTGTAATAACTATCGGGGGATAAGTCTACTTTCGATTGCGTCCAAACTATTGGCTTCTGTCATTCTTCGTAGGTTGTTTAAAACCCGAGAACGATTGACTCGCGAGGAGCAGGCTGGTTTTCGTTCTGGTCGAGGATGCATTGATCACATCTTCACCCTCCGCCAAATGTTAGAACACCGTCATACTTATCGCAGGCCAACAATCGTAGTGTTTCTTGATATCAGGGCTGCCTTCGATTCGTTGGACAGGACTGTTCTCTGGGATTGTCTATTGAAGAAGGGTGTGCCTGAGAAGTTCATTAACATCTTAAAGGCCCTGTAAACGAACACCTCAGGCAGAGTGAGGGCATACAACCACTTTTCTCCCTTGTTCCATTCGAGCAGTGGGGTTAGGCAGGGTTGCCCGATCTCACCATTCCTCTTCAACTTTGCTATCGACGACATCCTGGAAACAGCTCTGATGGATGTAAGTAATGGCGGTGTGGATATGTTGCCTGGAGAACGACTTCTCGACCTTGAGTATGCGGATGATATTGTCTTACTGTGCGATAATGCCCAAGGCATGCAATTCGCAATTAATCAGTTGGCAATCAGTGTCCGCAGGTACGGCATGTGCTTTGCACCCTCCAAGTGCAAGGTACTCCTACAAGACTGGCAGGATTCTCATCCTGGATGGTGAGCAGATTGAAGTAGTTGAGAAGTTCGTGTATCTAGGTAGCTATATAAGTGCTGGTGGTGGCGTGTGTGATGAGATTGATGCACGTATAATGAAAGCCAGAGCGGCTTATGCCAATCTGGGCCATCTTTGGCGCCTTCGTGATGTTAGTCTGGCTGTAAAAGGTCGGATTTACAACGCGTTGGTGAGAGCAGTTTTGCTCTATGCTTGTGAAACCTGGCCTCTCCGAGTTGAGGATGTTAGACGACTCTCTGTGTTCGATCATCGTTGTCTCCGAAGTATTGCTGACATACAGTGGCAACACCATGTTAGTAATGCAGAGGTTCGGCATCGTGTGTTCGGGCGCAGAGATGATAATTCAATTGGTGTCACCATCTTGAAACACCGACTTCGGTGGCTTGGACATGTTCTACGAATGTCATTCCAGAGAATTCCACGTCGTGCATTATTTGCTGACCCTGGGACTGGTTGGAAAAAGCGGAGAGGAGGTCAGTGTATGACATGGTGTCGTGGCATGAAAGAAAGCTGCAAAGGGCTAGCTTCCGTTGGTCCTTCAATATTCCCTGGTTAGGGTTCTAGACATAGTGCAACACAGTGGCTAGAGACATTATCAGATATGGCTCAGAATAGAAGCCAGTAGCGATCCTGCTGTAACCTTCTTTTACTTTCTACATAAAGAATGGTTCTAACTTTCTTAGCTGAAAGAGTCTTCTGGTTGTACATTTCAGTCCGCCTTATCTTTTCATCCCTTCTCTTCCTACTTTCATTACTTTGTGTGGCGCATATGTACCTGGTGCACTTTTGTACCAATATATATGTGTTTAAATAAATAATAAATATATATATAATAATGGAGTAGATACGTTACGTAATAATTATATAATGACATCGATTATAAACTAACACTAATTGGAAGAGAAGGATTAATACTAATCAAAGTTGTTATTCGAAAATCAAGCTGTTGCTACGTTGCATAACTTATAAAAAATAGAAGAAAGAACTAACAAAATATTTTGATGAATGGTCAGCAATATAGTAGTTATGTAAGAATCAAGAGACGAATGAAGAGAATAAGTAAAATACCAAATACAAAAAAATTGGAAGGAATAAGATAATTGTTTACCGAAACTATGCTACAAACTCCGCTAAACCGATGGCCAAGGTAGCGAGAGTGGTTGTACAAACTTCTTTTTTATACAAAGGTTCGGTTAGTGGATATGAATTGCGATGGCTTCAGCTATGTGCAATAGACGAGCTCGTAAATCATATATATATTGGTGTAGAGCCATGATGAAAAACTAATTGAAAAGAAATTTCTAAGCTCGATTCGTTCCTTTTTAATAAACAAATGTAAATAGAACAACTGTACTTTATTTTGGCATTATAAATCTTGTTAGTATGTGTAAGTATAGTCTATTTCAGTACTAATACTACATTGATGGTAGATGTTGTCCGATAACGGTAAATTTATCGAATGATTGCCTAATGTGTAAGATCTTACGCGGAAATCGTATCACTATGTACACTGAGACCCATCATCGTATAGTGACAATTAACAATATTATTTAGTACTTCTGAAGAACACATTTTTGCTTGGGATAGAATAATATACATTTAATGTGAATATAAATAAGTTAAACATAATGAGCACGTCTGCAAGACTGAGTCATGCCATTTGATTGAATGAATGTCTCCACGTCCACCACTGCCGACCTTCTCCAAGTGTTACAACATGTCGAATAAACATCTTTT